CCTATTTCAGTAGATGTTACTGGATTTAACCTCTCCATTTCTTATTTTTAATGTTTTTAAATGGCATATTGCTTAGTCTTTCGAAAATACATCTTAACAGGACGTTTGTACTATGATAGGGGAATGAGGGTAGTAAAATTTGTCTAAAGTCAAAGTATGATGTTGAATCCATTTTAAGTCCAGGAACTACACATAACAAAGGGAAATGCATGGGCAGTTGATGTTTTGCTTAAAGAGTTCTCCTAAACATTTATGAAGAATGGCTGTGGTTAACTGGGTGCTCAGCATCTGACACGCTGTACAGGTATTATCTATAACTTATAGGTGAAGAAACAGATCGAGAGGATTAATGACCCCAAAATCATAAATGATGGAGCTGATATTTAAGCCCAAGTCTGAGCCTGACATCAAAGCTTTCAACCACTTAGCTAATGACTGTCTCAGTTTTACAGTTTAAGTAAAAATTTCTTAGCCCTAGATAGTTACTTTTAGTTGATAATTTTTTTTTTTTTTTTTTTTAAGTAAGCAATATGCCCAGTGTGGGGCTTGAACTCAGGACCCCAAGATCAAGAGTCACGTGCTCTGTGGACTAAGCCAGCCAGGCGCCCCTTACTTGGTAATTTTTGATGTTTTGCAAAACAGGACAGTTGTGTCTTTTCTTACTGGTTTGTGGGACTTTATATAGCTTTTGGGTACTTTGGACCTTGTATCTTCTCCCAATCTGACATTTTTTTTTACTTTGGTTATGGTGGTTTTTTAAAAAAATAAACTTAATTTTTAGAATTATTTTAGTTTTACCAAAAAATTATGATTAGAATTCCCTTACAATCACAGCCAGGTTCCCCTATTATTAACATATCAATATGTGTTACAATTAATAAACCAATGTTGATATACTGTTATTTACTAAAGTCCGTATTTTATTTGGAATTCCTTACTTTTCACCTAATGTCTTTTGTCCTTCCCAGGATCCCATCTAGGAAACCATATCACATTTAGTCATTGTGTTTCCTTAGGCTCTTGGCTATAACAGTTTTTTTAGACATTGTTTATGGTTTCTTTTGGCTTGTAGTTTTCAATTTTAATGTAATCAAACCTATGAATCTTTTCCTTTATGTTTTTGTGCCTTAAGAAATTTTTCATATACTCAATAATAATAAATTCCTGTTTTCCTCTAAAATTTTAGAGTTTTTCTTTTCACATTATATATGACGAGGATGGACTTAAAAATATTCTTTCCACATTTCCATATGGATAGAAAATCATTTGTCCCAGTTATGTTTTTTTGAAAAGGTACTCTTCCCCCTAACCACCTCACTTCCCCATTTATAAAGTCATACCTCTGACTTACCAAGTTCCCATATGTATGAGAGTGGATTCCTAGGTTCTCTGTTCTCTTGGTCTGTTTATCTACTTGTGTATCAATAACATAGTTTTAATTCATTCAGCATGTATTTATTTGAGTGCCCCCATGTGCCAGGCACTGTTTAGGCACAATTGATGTGGTGGCAAACCAAAGTGTGTGCCCTCCATGGAACTGACATTTAAGTAAAGCTTCTATTCCTACTTTGAAACACTGCCTTCATTTTTATTGGTCCTTAAGCCTTCCATGAAAATTTAAGGTCAACTGGTCAAATTCCATCTCAAAAACCCCGGTTTTTGAGATGGAATTTGACTAGTGGAATATTGGAATATTCCTATGGAATATTGACTGAAATTATATAATTTGAAAAGAATTACCCACTTTAAGATCTTCATCTGTGAATATGGTGTATCACTCTATTTAGGTTGCGTCTGATGTTGTTCCATAAAGTAATTTTAAAAATAGTGATCATGCATAAATTGTTAGATTTACTCCTAGAAACTATATGATTTTTGTTGCTATTGTATGAGGTGTATTTTTTAATACTACATTTTGTAACTGACTTTTGCTGAACACAGAAATGCTGCTGGCTTTTGTGTATTAATCTTGAATCTAGCTACCTTGCTGAACTACTTATTAGGCTGATTTGTTTATGGATTCTCTTGGAACTTCTGGGTAAATAATCATATTATTTATGAATAATGAGAGTTCACAACTTTCCAATTTAATACCTTTTCTCTTTCTTGTCTTATGGAGATGGGTAAATTCTAAAACCATAATTGAAGTAGAAGCAGAGGAAGGACACATCCTTGTTTGTTCCTGGTTTTAAAGAGTAGGTTTTAAGTTTCACCATTAAGTATGATGTTTACTGTAGATTTTTAGCAGATATCTTATCAGGATATGGAAGTTACCTTTTCTTCCAATTTTCTAAGAGTCTATGTTAATACTTAATTTTATCAAGTGGTTTTTCTGAATCTGTAAGAATTTCATCTAGATTTTCCTCTTTGTTAATGGATTACTTTTAATAGCTTTTATGTTGAACTATCCTTAGTCATGATATACCATATTTCGACACACAGTACTGCATTCAGTTCATTAATCTTTAAGTTTTTCCAGTTTTACTAATTGACGATTTTTGTGTTTATATTCCTAAGTGAGAAGAACTTACAATTTACCTTTCTTATATTCTAAGGTTCAGGTTTTACTACTACAGTTATAAAACAATTTGGGGAACAAAACATTGATGTAAAAAGGTCCCTTATTAGTATAGTTTAAGAGAGGCAATATTTTGTTTTACTTTTTGTTGATGTATATTTGCCAGATCAGTTTTTGTTTTGTTTTGTTTTGAAGTACACTAGGGTGGGAAAGGGGGATGACTATGTTTTAGACTGATTCATTTTGGCTTTGGAAATGTTTGAATTTTTCAATAGCTTTACCTTTTTCCACCCAAAGTCCACTATAATTGCTTCTAGATTTGGATGAAAACTCAAAACAAGTTTTATTTTTAGAAAGCTTGATAGCTTTTAAAGCTTTTTTAAAAGTTTGGGATATTAAGGGGTGCCTGGGTGGCACAGTCAGTTAAGCATCTGACTCTTGGTTTCAGCTCAGGTCATGATCTCAGGGTCCTGGGATCAAGCCCTGTCAGGCTCCCCACTCAGTGGGGAGTCTGCTTGTCTCCCTCTCCCTCTGCCCCTCCCCACACCACCCCGTGTGCTCAGGCACTCTCTGTCTCTCTCCCCGCTCCGAAATAAATAAATAAATCTTAAACACATACACACACACACACACACACACACAGATCAATGGCACAGACATAAACCCATTCATATACGGTCAATTAATTTATGACATAAGAATCAAGAATATATAATCAGGAAAGGACAGTCTCCTCAATGAGTGGTGTTGGAAAAACTGAACAGAAACATGCAAAAGAAAGAAAATGGACCACCATCTTACACCATACACAAAAATTAATTCAAAATGGAATAAGAACTTGAATGTAAGACCTGGAACATAAAACTCCTAGAAGAAAACATAGGCGGTAAGCTCCCTGACATTGGTCTTGGCAAAGATTTTTTGATCTGACTCCAAAAGCAAAGGCAACACAAACTAAAGTAAACAAGTGGGACTACATTAAACTAAAAACTTCTGGACAGCAAAGGAAATCATCAACAAAATGAAAAGGCAACCTACTGAATAGGAGAAAATTTTTGCAAATCATATATCTGATAAGGGGTTCATAACCAAAATGAATAAAGAACCCCTATAACTCAATATCAACAAAAATTTCATTAAGAATGGGCAGAAGATCTGAATAGATATTTTTCCAAAGACATACAGATGGCCAGCAGGCACATGAAAAAGATGCTCAACATTACCAATCATCAGGGAAATCAATAAAACCACAGTGAGATATCACCTCACAACCGTTAGAAAAGCTGTCATCAAGAAGACAAGAACAGGGGCGCCTGGGTGGCTCAGTCGTTAAGCGTCTGCCTTAGGCTCAGGTCATGATCCCAGGATCCTGGGATCGAGCCCCGCATCGGGCTCCCTGCTCCACGGGAAGCCTGCTTCTCCCTCTCCCACTCCCCCTGCTTGTGTTCCGTCTCTCGCTGTGTCTCTCTCTGTCAAATAAATAAATAAAATCTTTAAAAAAAAAAAAGATGACAAGAACAAGTGGTGGCAAGGATGTGAAGAAGAGGAAACATTTGTGCACTGTTTGTGGGAATATAAATTGGTGCAGGCGCCGTGGAAAACAGTACAGAGGTTCCCCCCCCAACTAAAAGTAGAACTACCATATGATCAAGCAATTCCACTCTCAGGTATTTATCGGAAGACAACAAAAACACTAATTTGAAAAGATATATTCATTCCAATGTTCACTGCAGCATTATTTACAATAGCCAAGACACAGAAACAACCAAAGTGTCCATCAATGGATGAATGGATGAAGAAAATGCGACACACACACACACACACATTATTCAGCTGTAAAAAAGTATAACACCTTGCCATTGGAGACAACATGGATGGACCTTGAGGGCATTACACTAAGCAAAACACGTCAGAGAAAGACAAATGATCTCACTTATATGTGGAATCCAAACAACAAACAAAAATAAACAAACCAAACTCATAGATACAGAGAACAGATTGGTGGTTGCCAGAGGGAGCGGTGGAATGGGTGAAGGGAGTCAAAAGTTACAAACCTGCAGTTGTAAGTCACTAGGTGTAATGTACAACATGGTGACTATAGTTAATAATATTGTGTTTCATATTTAAAAGTTGCTGAGAGTAGACCTTAAAAATGGTTGACATATGTTTTGCAATACACACAAATATCGAATCATTATGCTATACACCAGAAATAAAAATGTTATGTCAATTATACTTCAAAAAAAAAAAAAAAGCCCAACTCTCAATATGAATCCAGTTTTATTAAGCTTCAAAGATATAAAACAGCAATGCAGCACCTAGACAGATTACAGTTGCTTCAAGAAGTCTTGAACGTCTTAAGGGTAGTTTCAAGACACTTCCACCCAAACACAGAGTGCCTTAGTTACAAAAAATGAAATTGATATGGAAAGTTCCCCTACATTCCCAATAGATCTTTTATACTTATAATAATAGTACTTACCTCTTATGCTGTGTGAAGATTAAATGAATCCTTGTAGAGTGTGGCTCAGTGCCTGGGACACAGTAGGCGCTCCAATGGTACTGCTATCGTCACGCTGGAAGCTTCTCATTTCCTCCTCCATCACTTAATTCATCCGAGACGCTGTGGTAAGCACCAGAGGCCGCCAGGCTGAAATTTAGCTCCTGCGCTCCAGGTGGTCACAGCCAGCTAGGAAAGGCTGGCGGCGTCATTAAATGTCCAAATAGTGTCACACGGGCTACAGTAGATGGGGGTGAAAGCCATTTACCTAGATAACTTTTTCTTAAAAATATTTTTACTGTTCACGAGTCCTGAGTTTTGGCCTAACCCAAACAACCAGCAGTTGCAGGAACCCACCAACTTTTTGAACGAGCGAGTCGCACTTTGTGCGCAGGCGCCAACAGTGGTCGGTGCGGGCGGTTCTCGCTCCGCCTCTTCCGCCAGGCGCGGGGCACCGATTGGTCCGCGTGACCAGTATAAGAGGCTGCGCGCAGGCGCGGGACCTCTTTTCCTCAGCTGCCGCTAAGGTGCTCGGTCCTTCCGAGGAAGCTAAGGCCGCGTTGGGGTGAGGCCCTCACTTCATCCGGCGACTAGCACCGTGCCCGGCAGCGTCCGCTCAGCACTCGCCAGCACTATGGCCTCCGTCTCGGAGCTCGCCTGCATCTACTCGGCCCTCATCCTGCACGACGATGAGGTGACGGTCACGGTGAGTGCGGGCCCGGGCCGGCGGCGGGGTCGGCCTGAGGGCGGCCGTTTTTCTCCGCGTGCCGGGCCTCCCTGCCAGGCCCTTCCGGCGGGAGCCGCGGCCATCGACATTCGCGGCGGGCGGGCCCACGTGCGGGGCGGCCTGGGGCCCCGGCCACGTGCTGCAGCTTCCTGGGGGACTGGAGTACACTTGGGCTGCGCGCTCCGGCTTTGGAAGCTTGCTTTAGCGAAACTTCCGCGGCGTGTGGGCATCCTCACCCTCACGTAGGTCACTATCCTTCTTTGGTGTGATGACCTGGAATTCCTGTGGTCCTCCTGCTAGGTCTTGTTGGGCCAGGCTGCGTGATGTGGAGAGCACGTTAGCTTGCTCCACCTCCCGGCCTGTCTCGTAACTTAAAATAGCGGCGTGACTTGGGCAAGTCCCAGCCTGCGAAATGGCAGCGATGGGCTCGCCGCCTTGCAAGGTGCCTGGCACACAGGAGCCGGATGCATTTCACTTGCTCGTGGTAATCGTAAGAGTAAGAAATGGTCGTTTTAAATAAGCATACATGAAATACAGATAGAATATTTGAAATGGTTAAACATGGTTTTTACACACGTTTTGAGTGATTTACTTTCAGTTGCAGTATTTTGGAGACGTTTACGAAAACTACACTTTGCTCTGATGGATTGCTGTTTCATCTTTTTTAGGAGGATAAGATCAATGCCCTCATTAAAGCAGCGGGTGTGAATGTTGAACCTTTCTGGCCTGGCTTGTTTGCAAAGGTAAGGTGGTGGCAGCAAAGTGATTTGGAGAAGCAAATTTGGGGACATTACTGATTTATTAAGTCAGGTGCTCACGTAACACGAAAAAGACTGGAAGGTGCCGTATTCCACTGGACCTTTTTTAAGTTCTGTTTCTTCATAGCTCCATTTCTAGAACCTAATCAAAGTTTATCTTGTCTTTTCCTTCTTGATTTCAATCTGGTTTCTCTTTTCTTCTGTTCTGAAACCATGGCACACACATATATTTGTACATGTATGTATATGTATATATGACATACGCACCAAATGACTCCTCCTTAAAAGGGTCACCCAGGGGATACCACCACCCATGCTGTTCCAAGGAGATCTTTCCTTCTGATTTCATGGAAATTGGGTGTAGTGGCCTTTCATTGACCATTTACTATTTGTTGGGATACCTAAAAAGACTAATGAAGACAAGATTCCTACCCAAGGAACTTGGCACTGGCTCCCTTTTCTGTTGTATATGTTACCTAATCTTTGGTAGGTGGCTTTTAGCTTCATCTCTTCAGGTTGTGTCCAAAGACTTGAATGATTGAAAACATTGTGCCTTTAATAAAGTCCCTGGACTTAGCAGTCTGAAAAATTGAATTCACTGTTAAGAAATTTGGAACTGTGGAAAGAATCCTGGTTTGAGTGTTTAAGGAAGCTTGAGTGTTTTGCCAACAACTTAAGCCAGCTTTTGTGGGCCAGTTTCTCATCTATAAAAGGAAGGAATTCAGTTAGTTATTCTGCCTTGCTACTTAAGTATGGCAATGCAATACTCAAGATTTAAAGCTTGAGTAGTTTTGTGTGTGTGATTAATTTTTAACATAGCTGTGTGGCCCTGTCTATGTCTAATCCAAGCAGAAGACAAAATGTCACTGGCAGACTCCAGCGAAGAAGGAAGAACAGTAATAGTGTTGGGAATTGCTTACTGTCTGTTCAAAAGGGGGTTGGTACCATAACAAAAGGCCAGAACTGAGCGTGATCTGTTGTATGCACATGTGTTGCAGGCCCTGGCCAACGTCAACATTGGGAGCCTCATCTGCAATGTAGGAGCTGGTGGACCTGCCCCAGCAGCTGGCGCTGCGCCAGCTGGAGGTCCTGCTCCTTCCACTGCTGCTGCCCCAGGTAGACCTTTTTTTTTTTTTTTTTTGGTATTGGAGGGAGGAGTGGAGATGAAGAGCAATGTTGCCTATAATACTTAATTTGCTAAGAGTAGATGATGTGTAAAAATCCTAAACTCGGACATAGTTGGAAAGAAGGCTAGGGCATTTTTAACCATGTAAGTTGAAGGGCCTGGAGCTCTTTGGAGTTTAAAATACTGAGCAGGTGTGATTGACTTTCTGTTTTTTAGCTGAGGAGAAGAAAGTGGAAGCAAAGAAGGAAGAATCTGAGGAGTCTGATGATGACATGGGCTTTGGTCTTTTTGACTAAACCTCTTCTATAAGCTGCTCAATAAAAAGCTGAACTCTTGGTTGCTGTTGGTTTTGCCATTTATTTGGGGATGTACTATGTATGGATGATCTCCCTTCTGCAACACTGGTTTTCAGCCTTTTCTGGTATGACACCAGCTGAGTTTTTTCCCCCTGCCACCATCTCATGGTGAGAAATAGTACACCAGCCACATGCTGTACCAAGAATGTACCTAATAATTGCATCTAGAACTGCATGGAGAGGTGGGAGAAGGATCAGAGCAAATGCCTTGTCGGGGTCACCTGTGTGAGTTCACGATGACAGGGTTTGTCCCCTTGACAGGAATAAGAGGCAGCGGTGGTGGTATAATCAAGGCCTCTTAAAAATCCCAAGTAGAATCCTGGCTACAAATTTTTGAGCTGTGCTGAGCCATCAGAGGTAGAATACTGCTATGTGCCTGGGCTTATAATTCAGCAATACTGAAGGAGTGGTGTAAACTCAGGTTTGATGGGGCACCTGGGTGGCTTAGTTAAGCGTCTGCCTTGGGCTCAGGTCATGGTCTTAGGGTCCCGGGATTGAGCCCCACATCGGGCTCCCTGCTCCGCGGCAAGTCTGCTGCTCCCTCTCCCTCTGATCTCTCGCTCTCACTCTCAAAAATCAGGTTTGGGTCCTTATTTACACAAAGGCTAAAACCAAAATTCAAACCTGTATTTGACACTAACAAAGTAGGGTTTGGGGAAGGGGGCAGGCTGAGCACTGGTGTGGAGACTAGTTCACTTCAAAATGCCAGGGGACCCTAAGATTTGGATTTATAAAATATGATTACTTTGTCTTCAGAGCATCTGTTAGGTGCCAGGCACCTGGACATCTTGCCCTTTGCTCTGTCTCCATTTAATAGAGGAGATCAGGAGTTGGTGAAAAGCAGGATTCCTAGCCCCAGCTGTCCAGTGTATAAGACCATTAGTGTTAAGTTTTAGAACCACATGGGTTAATGGCTGGTGTACCTTACAGAATTGAACAACCCTACATTATGGACGTCGGTGCATTTTTGGGAATGTTTGAAGTAGTACTTAAAAGATAGCAAAAATCTCAAAGTTCCATCAATCAGAAAACAAATGATCCTAAATTATCAGCCCTGAAAATGAGCTCTGGGTATAGAGGAATTCTTAAAAGTAAGGTTAGATAAAGAACAAGTCCTGGTAAACTGCATACAGCACACTACCCTTTTCCTAAAGCTCAAAAATAAGATGGATTAGACAAGAAAGGTAAGGGATGATCAATTTAGGACCTTGAGGAAGTGCAATGAATAGTAGTACATAGATGTTACTGTCATTCAAATTTTGGAGTTCTCATGTATTAGAGATGAGTCCTTTGTGCATGTGAGGAAAGGGTCATAAAGCGATTGTGAGGCGCTTAGCTGGTTTGGTAGAGCATGCAACTCTGACCTTGGGGTCATGAGTTCAAGCCCGGCCGGTGAAGAGCTTACCTAAAGCTTGATATACGCCCACATTTAAGTGTTTTTCCTCCTTATCTTCATCCATCAGCTAACAGCCAATGCTGTGCTGATCTCTAGCGTGTCCTGTCATTCTGCACAACAATCCCATGGTAACCCCATGTCACAGATGGGTCAGTGGGAACTCAGAGGTTAACATGATGTAAAGACTAGTAACTGGGTAGAAGGATTCAGACCAGGCTCTGCTAAGCCTGCTCTTAGCATCTTTCCCCGTGCCACTGCTCCCTTTTCCCCTCCTGCATCAGTTTACTCATCTATAACGATAGGCCTGCCTCACTGGGTTTTAGACAGTTCTAACAGGAATTCCTTGCAGTCGGTGAGCACTTAAGTGTGAGGAGGGAATATGGACACTTCACTTGGCCAAGGAAATATTTTGAACAGATTAAAAAGAACACTTAACTAGAAGATAAAGGAAAACAGCATCTAGAACAGCTGAAAATTAAGTGGTAAATTGGGATATAAATACCAAGTTCGGTTACCCAAACTATACAGTGACAAATGTTCACTATAGCAAGACTCAAGTGTTAACATGGCCTCATGGGTGGGCCCAGCTTTTGAAAAGAAATCTTTTAACGTAGTAAAAAATCTAAATAGAGCTAAAACCTTTCCAAAGAATGATCTGATAAAGTAGGAGACCCACTTATACATGTAGAAATGCTAACCTTTTATTCATTTGATACTGAATTAAAAAGTCTGCCCAGTTCCACTCCCCTTTTAGTTCTCCTGACCCTTTATTTCTTCTTTGCAAAATGGGAATATCTAGTTTATATTGGGGAATGAACTTGCCCATCAATGCTTGCTGGTATGTAGATGCCATTTCCCTTCTGTGTAAGGTACAAAGAACACAGTTCTGAGAATCCCTAGGTCCAGCAAGCCTAAGCCTTGTGCTCTTCAGACCTCTCCCTGCCAGTCCTTCGCAATCAGGCAGCAAGTTTGGTTTCTCATGACTGGTTTTGCGCTACTGATTGTTCACCAAACATACTCTCTACTTTGTTTAATAAGTTCCGTTGTTCCTAAGATTCTGTTCAACTCACTCCTGTGGCGGCCACAAGGAAAGCATACCCAGGTCCGTGGCTGGCTCACTCACTCCTTTTATAATCTTGCATCAGCAAGAAGCCAGGATTAGGTGTAGGGGAGAATTTTAGGAACAGACTTGCTGACAAACCATCTAAGAACAACAATTTTTAAAAAAATCCATATTGTCACTGAATGTGTTACACAATGGGATAAAAAAAAATCCAAAGCTCCTGTCAACAGTTTTACTCTTTTTTTTTTTTTTCTTCTTTCTTCTAAAAATGAGAGAACCACACATGAA